TCCCCATCTCCTGAAGATTTCACTACCTCCAAAACCAGTACCATCGGGGAATGAGTGTTCCTAGCACGAGCCTGTGGGGGAACGTTTCATAGTGAAACCACAAGAGTCCAGAGTAGCTAGACACTCTCTGTGACTCCTTAAAGACAAGTTCTGTAAAAGGGAGAAAAATGAGACAGCAAAAGAAGTGTGGATTCGAGAGGGGGCAAGTGGAGAATTTAATTTCCCGGAAAGGCTCTGGGCTACAGTGGAGGCCTTCAGAGAGTTTGCCTTTGACCTGGATCCAGACACATCTTCCACAGTAATAAGAAGGGAGACAGAAAGAAAGAACAATGCTGCAGACTGGTCACTTTCTTGGGGAAATGGTTTGGTTCCTGACTAACACCCTTACTTTCCTGGTAACTAGAAGACAAACTTACAATCAGCTGTAAGCATGACACAGAGGCTGGATATATGAAAGTTTCAGGGAGAATATAAAATGGTTATGTGGGAATTATGCTGGTAAAATATTATGAAAGTGTATTCAGATTTTGGACATGTTGAGTGTCCCCATAAGGTTTACGTGTGTAGAACTCATAAAGGGACACTGTCGGCTATTTCATCTGCTCAGATGCAGGCACAGGGTAAGCAGTCAAGTAGGTCTGACCCACGCTGTGATCTAAGTCTAGCAAAGAAACCCAGATGAAGAATAAAGATATAGATAAGATCAACCATATTGAAATATCAACTTTTCCAAATTTGTTCCTCTGTGTCCCTGAGTGGGTAAAGGGGCGTGCCACCAAGCCTTTCAATCCGAGTTCAATCCCTTGAATCCATGTGATCGAGGGAGAGAACCAACTTCTGAAAATTGTCCTCTGACTTCTACATGTGTGCTGTGTGTGAAACATACACAAAGTAGGTAAATTAACATAATGGGAAACTTTAGTCTATTGGTATCTGGAGAGATGGCTCAGCGGATAAAGTACTTGGTGCCCAAGCGTGAAGTTATGTGTTATGATCCCGGGACCCATGAATGACAGTACATGGCTATAACCCCACATGATGGGGAGGCAGAGACAAGGATCCCAGGGACTTGATGCAGCCATTGAGATAGTTGGTGAGGTCCATATTCCATGAAATGCCACACCTCAAAAATAAGGCGGTTCCACACGTTCTCTCCCATAAAAGGACTTTGCTTCAGATCTTTTTGTTTTGTTTTGTTTTTTGTTTTTTGTTTTTCGAGACAGGGTTTCTCTGTATTGTTTTGGAGGCTCTCCTGGAACTCGCTCTGTAGACCAGGCTGGCCTTGAACTCAGAGATCCGCCTGCCTCTGCCTCCCGAGTGCTGGGATTAAAGGCGTGCGCCACCAACGCCCCACTTGCTTTGGATCTTTAGATTTGTTTGCTAATCTTGGAATACCCATGGGAGCCACCAATGGATTTCTGGTTGGGTTAAGGTTCACTCTGAAGGAGACTACTCATGTTAGTATGGTAAACCTAGATAAGAACCAGTAGCTGAAGAGGTCACAGGCCCTAGAAGCCACAGGCCCTAGAAGTAGAGTCATGACAATTACTTCGATGAAGGTACACAGTATTAAACTGCCTTCTAATTACTTAACCCCAAATCCACAGACTAGTGCAGCCCTATCCCTCATCGGAGAAACTTCATTTTGCAGTGCACGACAGTTAGTACAAAGACTCACAATTGGTCAAAGTGCAGAGAAAAATTGGCTGTGGAGTGCTCACGCCTAAATCTGTTTCATACTCCTACAGCCCAAGACTTAGGAAACGTCATGGGTGGTGGATGGTTGTAAACGCCAGATGTAAGACACACTGCTGTGACATGACATCCTCTAGATATAACAGCAATTTGCACCCATGAACTCATACAGCTTGGGGTTGCCTGCAACTACCTGCGGAAGATCAAGCCAGTTGTCATTCTAGCATGGAGGCAGGAAGGACCCATGAGGCCCTGCCCCTAACTACCAGCTGTTATTAGATGATGGTTTCTGGGGAAGAAGAGTCAGTTTTTTATTGTTCTTTTTTCTTCAGGAGTGTGGTTCTTCATAAGCCACCAATGCTCCTCCATTGGGTGACCCTGTATCTATGTGCACATGGGTAGCACTAATTAGGCTCAGTGGGTCATGAAGAAGCAGAGAAGAGGGAGTAGGACACAGAGGAGTGGGAGATTCCAGGAGGAGTTAGAGGAAACAAATTGTGACAGATACAATCAAAATACATACTATAAATGTACGAAATTCTAAGAGAGTAAATTAATGATTATTTAAAGATGAAGACTAATAGAGGAAGACACCCGATCTTATCTCTCACCTGCACATGCTCAAGCATCACACACACACACACACACCACACACACACACACACACACATCAATTTCTCTGTCTCAGTTCTGATATAAAGATGAAGGTTTGTATAAGTTCTTAAGAAAGATGAGTATTATAGGTTCCCATGAAAAGATGTGGGACTGGAGAGACGGGCCACTGGTTAAGAAAGCATACTGCCCTTCCAGGAGACCTGGGTTCAGCTCCCAGCACCCACACTGGGTAGCTTACAACTACCTATAACAAGTTCCAAGGGAGCCAACATTATCTTCTCATCTCCACAGCCCACACCTGGTGTACATACAGACACATAGGCACACAATTACGCGTAAATAAAAAAGAAAGATGTCTAGATACTCTTTGACCACATGTGTAGTAGGTCGTGTAAAAGCATGATGCCCTTACCATATTAAAATAATGGGCTTATACAACTTTTAGTCAACTACTAATGTGCTCCACCTGCATTTTGCACTGGAAATGTTCAAAGGAACCAGGAGCCCCAGTTGAAAGAACCAGGTGAATGTTTATTTGTTTAAGAAACTCACAGAATAGAATTTATGATGGCCACTTTCCTTCTCTTAGTCTTTATTTTTCGCTTCAGAGCTTACTGTGTTTGAGACCAGACTGGTGTCAATATGTGTACAAGGAAGTGAGATTTGACAAATAAAACTTTGTTTTGGAAATTAAACCATGCTTAGCCATCCTTCCTGTCCAAATTTTGAACCAAAACCCTGGAAATGAAAACAATTTCTAGAGCCTATCACTGCCATGATCCTAAATTCTTCCTGAGTTGTGAAGTGGAAAATTAAATTTTTTTTTGTTGGAAAACTCCCTGTTCAGTGGCTTCAGGTCAGTGTTCAGATGACGTCAGAAATGGTACATTTTTTCCCAGTTATGAAATGAATTATGGGGAGCCAACTAACCACATGCAATCATTAAAACTATTTTGGCTGACACATTGTTGGTCTGCCAGAAAACACAGGTGTTTTGTTCTTAAGGATTTTTTAAGCAGTTGCTTTAAGGAATGGTTGCATTGACAATGCCTCTGTGAGCAACGGAGGAGGGAGAGTCAGAAGGTGTGATCTGTGGGGAATTTGTGTGACAGGGCAGAGGCTGCTTTCACACAGTAAATAAAGAGTGGCTTTGTGCACAAAGCACCGAAGCATGAGGTTATACTGCGTAGACAGAGACACACCACCAATCAGGGGAGCACATCTACACATGAAGTTGTAAAAGCAGAATGAGAGACTCTTCACAGTGCGAATTGCTATTATTATCAAGTTCATGGACGGAGATTTGGCAGAGGATTTTGGGTCATTCTTTTTATTGCCAAAGACTTCATTTGTATGCTCTAACAATGATTCGAATCTATCAACAACTGCCGCGGTCTGACGGCGTTTCATTTGAAAGTTGGGTCTTGACGAAGCAAGATGAAGAGAATTTCTCGATTGATGCAACTGTCACACAGATTTGTGAGTTTTCAGTAACAGCTTTACGTTCCTCACTCTCCCAGTCTACCTTCTTCCTCTCGAATATCTCTAACCGGTTTCTGAGGGAAACAGCTGCTGTCATCTGACTCATCGGAGGAATTTGGTTATCTCATCCAAATTGTGACATCTTAGATCATGCATCAATGGCATGCTTATTCGACGAAGCAGTTTTCTGTTTCAGAATGACTGTTTTCCTCTGTGTGTGCAAAGGAGCATAAATCAGACTTGTGTATAACCCTCAGAACTCAAAATATTATGCAGTAGTCAATTTCTCACCAGAGGATGCTTTAAAAGAACAATAGCCCTATTGACTGAGTACCTCAATAAGCTGTACTTGGAAATTTACATTAGGAAGACTGGGGACAGAGGTGAAGGATGGAAGATCACCTAGGATAACTGAGACCCTAGGAGCAATCCCCAGTACTGCAAAAAAGAAGAAAAAAAGGAAATTTGGTTCAATGCTGAAAACACTGTTTTAAAATATTCTAAATTTGATTATTAACACCTGTACTGCACACATTTTATTTCTGACTTCCTAAATACTTTTATTGAAGGCTATGCACAGCAGTCTACTTCATTAGGAAATTCTCCCCACCTCTAAATTATTTTGGATACCTCTTTTTCTGAATGCTGGTATACAGCAGGATCATGGCTTAGATTCTCAAGAATGCCTAAAAACTACTTTCTAGTCAATGGCATTATTAAAATTTAACCACTATTTGTTCACACATGTGGAATACACCTGGGTACAAAAACCTCAAGCTCTGAAAGAATGCTATGAAGCAACTCCTGCCCTGATAAGATTCGATACTTCTGTAATAGTCTGGAAGACTGAGCTATGTATTAGTTATAGTCTAACTACATGTTTCTGATTATTTATATAGAATGAAAGAGCTCAGATCCGCGACCAGATGTGGTGAACACTGAAAGAAAACATAACACAGAAGAGTATTTCCACAGAGAGGAAAATACATCTGTGAACACATGGCTGTTGTACGTCATCTTATTCTTTCTCATTTGAATACAGCTACTCCTACCATCAAACATAATTGAGGAAGGTATTATTTAAAATTGAGGAATGTATTATTAAATAAAACATTAGTTTAATAAAAATCATATAATTGTATGTATATACATGCATTCTATATAATAGTTTTGTTTTGAAACAGGATGGTTGGCCTGGAACTCTCTTTGTAGATGAGGCTGGCCTTGAATTCAGAGACCTTCATACAGTTGACTCCCAAATTCTGGGATTAAGGTATGTACCGCCCTAGTATACCTAATTATATAATAAATACAGAACATGAATATACACATAAATACTGTAACACCTCTCACCTCTCATGGATATTCTCGGCCCATGGAAGCTCAGTGAAACGTTTTTAGCCTCAAATGCCTTGAGTTCCACCATCATAGCATCCTAGGAGTTAATCTGCATGTAAGAAACTGTTCATAAGATAGGATTTCCTGGACTTCTAACCAGTGTTACCTGCAATTTTGTTTCCATATAGAGGACTCTTCTCCTCTACCATATACACACCTTAGCTAAGCAACAGGAACTGGATTTCCATTTCTTCTGCCCAGTAGCCATAGTCTCTGTGCCCTGATGCTCCTGCTGAGGGAATAGCAGGAGGCGGAAATAAAGGTCCAGAAGGTTGAGGAGCTGTGGTGCAGTGACCAGATGTCCTTCTAAAAAGGCCAGGGACATCTGAAGGAGGGCAGCATGATCTGATTAGCAAATGAAAGCCAAAGATAAGATTCTTGTTAGCTCCTTCCAAGCCTCGCTTTTAAACTTTAACCCCTCACAGGAGCTCTCGATACTAACTCACTAAGCATAACCCTCCGAACTTATGGTACCAAAGAAGCATCATATATTTGCTGACATGCTTTGTAAACAAATGCAATAAGCAATATGCTGGGGATGTCATTCAGTTGGTAGAGTGCTTGCCTAACATGCATGAAGCCTTGGGTTCTAGAGTATTTGAAGAAATATATTTTTATGGATTTGCTTATCAATCATTAAATAATTTAAAGGTGGAGTCTAGAAGTTAAAAAAATGAGCTTAAAGAGATAACTAAGTTGGTAGAGAGCTTGCCATACAAGGATAAGGGCTTGAGTTCAGCTATCTAGTACCCATGGACATAAACCAACATAGGGCGTGCCATACCAGTGCTGGGGAGGCAGATGGGAATATCCCTGGGGCTCGCTGTCCACTAGTGTAGCCCCATCAGCAAGCTCCAAGTTCAGGAAGAGTCCCTGTTTCAAAACCTTACGTGTGGAGAGCTACCGAAGAAGACAATGATAATGTCTGGCCTCCACATGCATGCACATATACACACAAACACACATGTGCACATGCACAAAATTAAAATATGACAAGCCACCCAATGATTTTCAAAAGAAGTCTACAACCTCTTTTATTTTGAATGTCTGTTACTGGAATAGGCTATAAAATTCAGTCTCAAAATCCTGGCAAAGCACAATGTTAGGGGTTCCCTGGGGTCTTGCTGATGTCTCTCTTTATGCACTCTCTTGCCAATTATACTTCTCCTCAGTTGACACCCAGTCATTGTCTGTCTTCATACCGGAATAAAATCATGCAAGACCCAAGGCAAACGTTTCCCAGCATCTTGAGAGCTGTCCTGAAGACACATCTTCAGGAGTATTGTTTACACTCGAGTACACTTCTCACTTGAAATCCCACATTGACAAGCAAAGGCATTCGTACCTCTGTAATTTCACTGGCCTACCTCTCCTTATACGTTCTTTTTCCTCTTTTTTTTTAAATCTTTTTCTTTCAAGAAGAAACATGCATAAGGCTCATCACTCATCAGAGAGAAGCCTGGGGGAAATGTCTACATTTCACAGGAATTCCTTTTCTGATCAGAAAAATCTCGGGTGAACATTTCCTGACAGAATTGGCCAGGAGTCCCAGCAAATTGACTGTGGCGGCCTTTGGTCTTGTCAATACACTGCCAGAAGAGCTCCTGAGGTCCCAGAAGAGCGGTTATGAGCAGGGATTTCTGGGCTATGTGTCACATGGTAGCAGGCCGAGGCTGGTGGGACAGCCCTCCAGTCCATGACTCCACACCCAGATCTATGAAAATCACCGTGGGGCACATTACTGTGCACAAACCACAGGAAAGGAGGTTTTGTGCCTTAATCATGTTGATATATTTTCTAAAAATATTTTCATCTTTGCATTCCCTTAAGTAGGCAAGAGTTTACTAAAACACCACTTACTGGGTTTTTGTCTGGTTTTGGAAGTAATGGTTGCTTAATTTTAGAGAAAGCTCCAAAAGCTTAAGAAAGAAAATGAAAATCATGTGTCGCTCTGCCTAACAGACACAACCAATATTAACATTTTTGATTATTTCCTTTCAACCGTGAAACAGAAAAGAGAAAGTTACCACAATTGGGATCACATTGTGTTGCATATATATTTTTCTGTCTTTTCCCATTTAGCATGCTGTCATCTGCTTAACATCTGTCGTCTTCTGTGTTCTGTTGCTATGTCAAGATACCCAAGACCAGGTAGCTCGTTCAGCATAAGAGGTCTGCTTGGCTCACAGTTCTGGAAGTTGGGAAGTCAAAGAGCACAGGGCCAGCATCTGTTTAGCATCTGGCAAGAGCGTCCTTGCTGCACTATAATAGAGAAGAGAGCATCCACATTAGTTACTTTTCTCGTAGTCGTTTTGACAGATTCCTAATGGAATCAACTTAAGGCTCACAGTTCAAAGAACAGCGTTCATCGTGACAAGAAAAGCATGCAGTGGGGTCAGCTCATTGCTATGGTTTCAGGGACTGGAGCTGAGGGAGGGGTGGGGGGCAGGCAGTACTGAGGTGACTTTCTGTCTTTTCTTTTATTCAGTGTAAGACTTCAGACCATGGAATGGTGCCACCTACATTCAGGGCAGCAAGGAAAGTCCCGACCAAAGTCAGATCTGCACCCCAGCTGAGAAACTGCCAAAGCCTGCACCATGTCGAGCATCTGCAGTCTGTGGAGACCTCATCTACTGCCCCACCTCTCCAGCTCTGCTGTCTGAGGCATGTGTAGCGGCTCTCTGTGACTGGCTCCCCTCCGCGCCTGCAGATTTCGTTGGTGGGTGTGCCACAGTTGGGGCATCTCAAACATCCCAGGGTCTCTACTCAAAACTTAGGCTTTCCCTCACTGCTGCATGAAGTGGCTTCATATGGCTGACTTCCTTGCAATGACTCCAGCCCTGACACACATTGGGTGGCTGCAGTAGCTTTCTCGAGCCTGGGTATAAACCATGAGTCTTTAACTTGAGCCTGGTGCAGTGACATATGCCTTTAATCCCAGCACTAGGGAGGGAGAGGCAGGCAGAGATCTGTGAGTTTGAGGTCAGCCTGGTCTACAGAGTAAGTTCTAGGACAGCTAGGGCTGTTACACAGAGAAACCCTCTCTTGAAAAACCAAAAAAGAAAAAAATCTTTAACTTGCATTTTTTTCACACCTGCAAAATGACCACTGCATGAACACTACTGTTAAATGCTGCCACCAGTTCTAAATATAGCCTGGCCACTTCTACCATAGCTGTGGTTCAACTCTTAAATGAACTTGTAGACTTTCAGCACCGAATTTGCATTTCTAAGACACGCAGCACTTTAGTCTGAGCAATTTCCAGGTTCTTTCCAACATTCAAGTGGTCAGTGTTGAATTACCTGACCCCCATGGTGTAAGCCAACTTAAAATATTATCTTTTATTATATATAATATATTATATATACATATCCCCTTTAAATATATATGTAAATACACATATACATAATCATATACATAATAAAAGGGGATAAATAATAGATATAGAATACTATGATATATTATACTATATAATAGATATATAATATATTACATGTACATTACATATACATAATACTATATATGTATAATAAAATAATATATATGATAATGGATGTGCATACACACACTCAAGCACACACACACACACACATACATACATACATACATACATACATACATACATACATATAAAAGCGGATATATGTATCCCCTTTTGGTTCTGTTTTTCTAGAGAACACTGCCTAGTACAGTGTTGCATGTTGAGAAAGAGCAAGCATGCCAGCTGAAGTCTCTCTTCTCTTCTTGTAAGCCTTTTAAGGCTGTAATGGTAGCCCTGCCTGCCTGACCTTACATAACTCTAATTACTTCCCAAAGGCCCTGCATCCAAATACCATTACCATGCAAATCTAGCCAATGAATTTTCCAACAGATGAACTTTACAGAAAGGACACATTCAAATCATGACAATATTCACCATTTGTAAATGAATGATTATAAATCAGAATCACATGACCCTTGAATAGTATGAACATTTTCTGATGATACAAAAACTCTTTAAATATTATTTTTAAAGACACAGGTTTAAACCTGTGATGGTAGTTATCAAGCCATAATCGCTAACATATGTGTCACCTGTAGGATTTGGTTTTTGTTGTAGTTGTTGTTTTGTGTGTGTGTTGATGATGCGGAACTTGTGCCTTTTTGTATGTCAGCCCATGCATCTCCAGGAAGCACCTGATCTGCTTCCTATCACAACAGATTGGTGTGTAGGTTAGTTTTCTTGTTGCCATGAAAAAAAAAATACTTGACAAGGGGCAACCTAAGGGAGGGTTTGTTTTGAATCACAGCTAAAAGAAACACCGTGTATCCTGGCAGCAGGGGTTGAGGGCATCTGGTCACACTGAATCTGCAATCAGGAAGCAGAGTGTGAGCAGGAAGCGGTGCTTGGCTATAAAAGCTAAAGTGCAGCCTCAGTGACTCACTTCCTCTAATGAGACTCCGCCTCCTAAAAGCTCCTCTGCTTTCCCAAACTGTTCAAACACCTGAGCCTATAGGGAATATTCCACAAACCTCAATGATTCATTTCTGTTTTCTAGATTACTTTACAGAGGAATATTACACCCGAGACACAATCTGTCTGGATTCTTTTAACCTTTGTGTTTTGTGATTCATTCATATTGCTGCTCAACCAATAGATGGTTATTTTTATTCATGAGTGTTACTCTGTTCTACAAATATACTGACTTGTTTTCCGTTCATTTCTTGGTGAATTGATGGGGGAAGCCCATATATATAATATATGTTTCTCTCATTGGTTGATGAATAAAACACTGTTGGCCAATAAGGCAGGAAGATAGGTAGGACTAGGAGATGAGAATTCTGGGAAAAGTAGGCAGAGGAAGCCAACCAGAGTCGGTCACCATGTAAGCTGCCAAAGTAGTAACAAGTCTGGGCATTCTCGGTAAGTCAAGACCACATGGAAACACACAGATTAATAGAAATGGGTTAATAATTAAGACAGAACTAGACACCGGCCAACAATTTTATACCTATTATAGCATCTGTGTGTTCATTTGGGGCTGAAAGGCAGCAGGACCAGCCAGGACAAAGAACCACTTGCTATAGTGAATAGTTTGTTGTCCCTGCGCTTTTGGTATTAAAAATAAAATTTCCATCTTTGGGTACCACATATCTCTTTTTATCTATGGCATGCACACACAGAGAGAGAGAGAGAGAGAGAGAGAGAGAGAGAGAGAGAGAGAGAAAACGCACACTCACACAAACGCACAGAGGCACATCTGACTAATCTAACACACTTTTCCAAAGTGGTTAAACTGTTTTCATTCCCACAAACTGCATATGAGAGTTTTATTTGCCTCCAATCATTACTAGTACCAGGTATGTTTCAGATTTTTTCATCTTAGACTTCTCAACTTTCATTAATGATCATGACAGTCTCTGAAACTTCATATGAGCTTTCATTAGACCTATCTACCACTGGAAGTGCTTAAAATTCCATAAATTTAAACTCATCAATGTTTTCTATTTTCTATTTCCACCACCCCCCACAACTAAACTTGCTCTCCTTCCCACATAACTTGTTGGGGTTAAACTGACACACTGCTTGCACTGCTTCTCCGGACCTCGCTGTGTCAATCACTCTGCCCTCTGCAGAGGTGTAGCTCCTTGGAAGCTCACTCACAGTGAAGGAACTCCCAGGACAATCTGAATTTGAGAAAGTTCATTATTTTGTCAATAACATTTCCCCCAAAATTTTCTCATGCTCTCATCAACTTTTTCTAATGACAAAGTATCATCATCTCAAATCATCAGGTCATTATGCACCCTAAAAACCATGCCTGGATTCTGATAGCTAACTAACACTCAGTACTACCTCCTCCTGTTAAAAATGTTACAGTTCAGAATTATATTTTGAAAAAAGAAAAGGAAAGCGCGCACACACACACACACACACACACACACACACACACACACACAAAGATAGTCAGGCATTATGGTGCATGCCTTTAACCCCAGCACTCACAAGGCAGAGGAAGTAAATCTTGGTAAATTTAAAACTAGTCTGGTCTACAAAGTGACAATCAGGACTGTTACACAGAAAAACCCTTAAAAAACAGAAAATATCTAAGAAATGCAGCCCCTCTCCCGCCCCCCAGGAACCCACTTTCTGTAGTATTCACAGGAGCCATCATAGAATAAGGAGAAAAAACTGAGACCAGAAACTTTTTGATTCTTTTGTCTGGCTCCTTGTGTATGAACTTGTAAGTTTTCTTCCTATGAAAAACTACATCTCTCACATTTCTGCCCTCTGCTGTGTGTTCATGAATGTTCCCCCATCCAGAAGTGTAATGTTAGTGGCAAGAGGAGTATCAGCAATCACTCTCTACCCCTTCCAGATGAGGACACGGAACACAGAAGGAAAAACAGTATTCCTATAATGGGCTAACGCCAAGCTTCTTAAGCTACGGTTGGCAACTCCAACAGGATTGTACCTGAAATACGGTGTCTCCAAAAGTTTGGCGACAGTGAAAGTTTTCTAAGTGCACCACTACCAAAAATCAATTCAAAATCAAATGTAGAATTTCTCCAAGACATATCTAGCAGTGGTTGTGTGTTGTAGTACACGCTTTGACAGCAGCCTGGGTTAGGAACCTTCAACACGTACACTTTCTACTACACATGCCACACCATGCAAGCCAACACGCATGGTCTGAAACGCCCTGGCACAGATGTGGGTCTGTTGCATGTTATGGATTTCTCCCACCCATGTGGGGCTTTCTACTCTTATTAAAATGCAATGATTTAATTACAGAAAGAAAAGACCTTTAATATTTTTCTACCAATATTTCTCTACATGTACCAAATGATTGTATCTTTTGATTATACTGGATTAGATTTTTTAAAATGATATTTGAGTTGCTTACTCGAATTTCATTAAAAAATGTTAAATGAATTTTGGCTTTGGATTGGGACATAGTTTCCAGCAATTCGTGACAAGGCCACTTCTTCCGTATTCTAGTACAGTTACACAAAGCAACATTATCAGCTCTGACATCATAAAGCGAAAATCTCAGTCACCTCTGAACATGTTAAAGATGTTCTCCATCCTGCAGCATAAAACACCCAGCCATAATTTAATTCTTCATCTGAAAATAAACGTGTCTATTTGATTAGCATGCAATTTTGACTGTAATTGATGGTAGTAAAAGCATATGTATAGCAAAGAATTATTTTAAAATGAATTTGTGATCTATTATAAATAAGGTTTAATTTGTATGCCTGTCTCATATGCCTGTACATAAGTCGAATAAGAAGCTTCTCCAATAACAAGGAATCAGTACAGCATAGTGATTGAATCATGTTCTCTAATGCCAGGAAAAGTACCAATGTGACTCATTCTCTTGCCCCGCCCCCAACAACAGTTAATGGTCTGCAATACTTAGTTTTTAATTTCTTAGTTTAGGAACAATTAAGTAATGGAGAGTTTAATACCACATAAATCTGGAAGCCAGATTAACCTTTTGAATAATCACTATCCTAGATTGGAAGGGACCAGTCCTAGATAATTGATATACACTGAATAATTAAGTTCAATCTTCTCCACTGAGGATGAAAATACATACACTGCCTGGCCTCTGTTTGTACCCTAAGCTGACCTTCATATACACTAAAATATAAAGTCTGTCATTTCTATTTCATGTGTTACTTGGGGGGTTTCCGCAAGGATTTCCAAATATGTGCTTCTTAACAGAGTTAACATATCCATCTGCAAATGAGGTTTCTTCTTTTACCAAGTGGAAAGTAAAAGCATTTCAACCAGATCTGACTTCCTGACTTTGCAGTGTGTGTGTGTGTGTGTGTGTGTGTGTGTGTGTGTGTATGTAAGAATGTGGTGGTATGTGAATGTGTGAGAGTGTGTGTGTGTGTTTGAAAGAAAGAGTATGGGTATGTGTGTGTATGTGGGTGTGTGTATGAGTGTGTGTGAGAGAGAATGTGAGTGTGTGTGTGTGTGTGTGTCTTCTTTTGGAATTTCCTAACTCCCCAGCCATGAAGACATAATTTGTACTAAACTTAGGAGTTTCTATAAATAAGAAACTGACACAGCAGGAGGGCCATTAGTGTGGTACAGTCCTGGATGCTCTTGTGCAATCTCTGTGTCACCTGTCCCTCAAAGGATTCATCCGTTATCATCATCCCAAGATCATCATCAGATTTCAATTCAGATAGAGGGTTTTACATATCTAACTACTGTTGTTCAACTGGGTATCTATGGAGACTGAAAAACTGGTTTGTTGCCTAGAGAAAAAGAAATAAAAACCACATCATTTAGTTTCTGTGTGGTTTCTGTGAAGCTAGGGAAAGTTTTTTGGCAAATAATAAAAATATGGATAGCTAAGGCTACCAATTCCTTTGGTTAATTATTAATCCTATCAGAAAATAAAGTCTACATATGTTACTTTTAAAACATGAAAATATTCTATCTAAGAAGTATCAGATTAGGGTCTTAGATTGGAAACCATTCTTTTAAAGAGCAACCAATATACACAACAAAGTCTAATAGGCTAAAGACTCTGGATGTATTACATATGGAAAATATTTCTCATCCCCATATTCAACAGATTTCCAAGTGTGAAAGAAAAAGCTAGTGTTTAATAAGGGTGGAGGAGGCTGGAACACCTAGTCATTAATCCTATGGAAATATTTGTCACGCATATGTGGTTTAGGGAATTGGATATAAACAGAACTTTCCTAAGAATTCCGTTCATCTGGGCATGGATCTTTATCTATCAGAACAAGTAAATATGTCACAGTAGACAGGGGACTTGTACAATGATGAACATAGGTGTAGACATGACAGCTTGGCATATGCTAACATGATTTCACAGCATCTTTTGGCCAACCATCAGATTGAGAACAGCTCCTGGCAGCTCCTTTCACAGTTAGTACACAAAATTAGCCAGACCAAGAAAGGTGTCACACATGACTTCCAACCAAGAAAGGGTTGGCCTGACTTCAGCTCTTCAGCATGTAGGATAACTAATGCTATTTGCTTTAGGATAGTTAGGAGACATGCCTATAAAAAGTCAACTTCAGACAGGAAAAATTGAAATTGGTCGTATGCATGAGTCACAAATGAAAATGCTCACAAAGGCCAAGATGGTAATGAAAAATGAACATATGGCCCTGAGTGAAACAAGAGACCAGTGGGATGCTGAACGCCATGGTACTCAGGCCAGGAAAGGGGGAAGCAGAGCGCTGGCTGTAGCTGCATGGACATTTCTTGAAACACAATTTCACTGCTCCAGTCTACCCATTAATGCCATGTGCCCCAATAGTTAAAAGAGAATGGATTTTGTTTGTCTACAACTTAGGAAAGTACCTAAAGTGATTTATTTACTCAAGGAAAAGAATAGTAGAACTTAAATAAACACAACTGACTATAACAAATACACAAATCATCAAAATGGCTTATGTCTAACATGGAAATTTATTTTAAAATGTGATTTTGGTAGCTGGGTGGTATTGAACTCACCTTTAATCCCAGCACTTGGGAGGCAAAGGCAGACACATCTCTAGGTTCAAGGTCAGCCTGGTCTACAGAGTGAGTTCCAGGACAGCCAGGTCTACACAGAGAAACCCTGTCTTTAAAAATGTGATTTTTTGGAGGGCTGGAGAGATGGCTCAGTGGTTAAGAGTACTGCTTGCTCTTCCAAAGGTCCTGAGTTCAATTTCCAGCAACCACATGGTGGCTCACAACCATCTATAATGAAATCTGGTGCCCTCTTCTGGCATGCAGACATAACATGCAAGCAGAATACTGTGTACATAATAAATAAATTTTTTTCTTTTTTTTTTTATTTAGATAAGAAATAAGGTTGCTTCACAAGTCAGTTCCAGGTCCCTCTCCCATTCCCTCCCTTCCTCCCAAGCCCTCCCCCTCCCCCCCCCGTTATCCCCTCATTTCCCCAGGGAGGGTGAGGCCCTCCATGGGGGTGTCCATAGTCTGTCATTTCATATAGGGCAGGGCCTAGACCCTTCCCCAAGAGTTCGGGGTGAGAGTGCACCTCACATTGTTCTATGGGAGTCCAAAGTCCGTGTGTATACTTGGGATGGGTACTGATCTGCTGCCCAAGGCTCAGTAGATTCCCTAGGCCTCCTCACTGACACTCGCATTCAGGGGGTCTTGATCAGTCCCATGCTGGATTCCCAGGCTGATGCCTGGGATTCAAGAGTTAACCTTTGTCTGGTCAGCTGTTTCTGGGGGTTAAACCAGCCCAGTCTTAATCCCTTTGATCATCAGTCCTCCCTCTCTGTTACTGGCTTTCTTGAGTTCAGCTCATTACTTAACCAAGGGAGTCTGCCTCTTCTTCGGTCAGCCACTAAATAAAGTTTCTGTTTCCCAGACTCTCTGGCCATAGGATTGTAGTCTGGCACTCCCCAGATCTATGTCTAAAATCCATATATGAGAGAGTACATGCCATGTTTCTCTTTTTGTGACTGGGTTACCTCACTCAGAATGGTTTCTTCTAGTGTCATCCATTTGCCTGCGAATCTCATGATTCCATTATTTTTTTCTGCTGAATAGTACTCCATTGTGTAGATGTACCACATTTTCTCTATCCACTCTTCAGGTGAGGGACATCTAGGTTGCTTCCAAGTTCTGGCAATTACAAATAAAGCTGCTATGAACATAGTGGAACAGACATCTTTGTTGTATGAATGGGCATCTTTTGGATATATGCCTAAGAGTGGAGTTGCTGGGTCTTGTGGTAGGTTTATTCCCATTTTTCTGAGGAATCTCCATACTGATTTCCAAAGTGGCTGAACCAGTTGGCACTCCCACCAGCAATGGAGGAGTGTCCCCCTTTCACCACATCCTCTCCAGCATAAACTGTCATTGGTGTTTTTGATTTTAGCCATTCTGACAGGAGTGAGATGGTATCTGAGAGTTGTTTTGATTTGCATTTCCCGGATGGCTAATAAATAATTTTTAAATGTGATTTTGTACCAATTTATAAGCTGCTAAATATATATGTATGTGTGAGTATGATTACACACACATGGCCCAGATAAAAAGGAAAAGGAAAGCTGAAACACAGGATGCGAATTGTAGAGGAGCAGGGAGAAAGTATTGTTTCTTTTTTTCTGTCTGTGTGTGCACGTGTGTGCATACATGTACATGTATGCACATGCATGCAAGTGGAGGCCACAGGGCACCTTGGGCATCATTCTTCAGGAGTCATCCATCTTTCTTTTTTGAGAGAGGGTCTTACACTTGACCTCAGGTTCACCAATTATGCTAGACTGACTGACCGCACAAGCATAAGTCACCACACCCGGCATTCCAAACAGCGTCCTAGGGAATTAAACTCAGGTCCTCTTACTTGGGTGGTAAGCAATTTGAGGACTGGGACTTCTAAACAACCAATTTGCCTTTTTCTTCATTCTCCTAGAACACCTCCTGTTCAGACAAGTCTTGGTTCTCAACTTTGTTAAATCTCGAATTACTAAAACTCATGTAGTTGGACACACCTGTGAAGAAGTTTCTTCTTGATTATGTCATTTGAAGTGGGAAGACCCACACTAAATCCAGATCATTTGCTGTGGGAAGACGCACCTTAAAGCTGGATCGAAAGACACACTCTAAATGTGGGCTGCACCTTCTGGTGGCAGTCTCTCTACAAGAACATGGAAGGAGAAAGCCTTTGCTTTTTGCCAGCTCACTCTCATGGGCAAGTTCACCTACCCTGCTGCTGAGGCATGCCTTCGCCGCTGTTAGAGCCCACTTCTTTGGAATTCCAATGTGTATTGAAGACCAGCTGAAACATCCAGCCTCACCGATTGACCATCTATTGGATTCTTGGATTTTCCATCCGAAGACAAAGTTGGACTAGCTAGACCATAGACTGTAAATTGCTTTAATAAATCATGCATATATATATATACATATATATGTGTGTGTGTGTGTTTGTGTGTGTGGTTATATATATATACATATATATAATACATTCATATATATTATATATATATTCATGCTATCAGTTCTGTTACTCTGTAGAAACATGATTAATACATCTCATCTGTGTGTTTTAGTTTATTTACAATTTAAGTAATCAAGAGATTGAGGTAAAAAATTACTTGGAGTCATTCTCACTTGACTTATAGAAGAATTTTACTCATACGTACTTTGACTTCAATCACATGCTTTTCCAATCCCAAATCTTCTGTTTTCCTAATATGTACTATATAAAGTCCAGCAAACAACAATAGTAGCAAAGCAGGGTGTGAGGATTTTTAATATATTTCCTCTCCCTTTTCAATGATGGAAAAGCCATCTAATCCCTTAGAATTTGACTAACTGAGGCCTTACCAGGTGTAGACTGTTACTCTGATATGGGATTGATAGACGGGTCATTGTGGGATAGAAAGAGGAGATGAATCATTTGGGCCTATGTGAAAATCAACCAGAAAGTTTATACTGAATTTTATACATGTCTACTGAATTATTGTTACAGACAAGAATTTGGAGACGGAATGAAGACAGACATACAAAGAGGTACTATGACTAAGGCAGCATTCGCAACCTGTTAGACTTGTACAGCTAACCGGAAATGGAAGCCATGATCCTGCTGCAAAGAGGACCCACCATCAGGACAACATGGGGATGTCTGGCATTCAGTCACTTCCTCAGAGTTGGTGGTAGCTCTGTCTACTGGGAAGCAATCTCACAAGATCATCTCACAAATGGACTGATGTCAAGATATCACAAGCTGTGAACAAAGCTCTGTCCTGCTCATACTGCGTTGACAAAGGAGAATCAAAGGATAGTTTACATGTTTGTCCGATTTTCAGTTAAAAACAACTCAGAAAGGCCAGTTGAAACATTTGACTGAATTAACTGAGAATTACAATGGGGGAAAATGCAAGTTCCTGGCTCACACAAAAATACTACAAATACAGGATGGGAGAGGCTCTGTGTGTGTGTGTGTGTGTGTGTGTGTGTGTGTGTGTGTGTGTGTGTGTGTGTGTGTGGTGTTTTAAAGAATCAGTCTTGAATTGACTTAAACTAACAGCCACACAAAGAAATATAAACTATTAACTAACAAAATTTTTCTCTTACTAACTGAAGAAGTTAAACCCATAATTCCTCCAGTCTACCAAGCATCAGGAAGCTGAGTAAGTCTCAGTACTGTAAAGACTCTGAAGAAACAAGGATTCAATGATACTTCATATGGAAATGTGGACTGGTAAGTCCTCCTGGGACCATCGGCAGTGCATATTGAAAATTGTGAAAGGTCAACAGGGTTATGCAGGCCTATCATCCCACCATTGCCCTTTAGGGATTTCTTAGTTTAAACACTGAAAGATGCACACAGTTACTTATCTCGAACCAATAGCAAGACTGTTATGGCCACAACACACACAAACACATACATACCAAAATGTTCCCCAGAGGGAAGCATTGTCATGACTGAATAAACAGTGCTTCCTGCTACACATCAATCCAAAATTACATGAATGGAAGTTTGCTAACACCACCACAACATGTATGAAACCTGCGGTCTGCTCACTATTGTCCAATTCCTGATAATGTAATTACCATACTCATGTATGGTACTGTCATAATGAGAAAGCTAACTGAAGGATACATGGCCTTCTTGCAGTATTTTTTTCAAAATCTATAGAAACTTCAAAAGAAAAAGAATTAAGCTGATGAAGCAGAAAGCTGTTTTGACTGCAAAGAGGATATCAACTCATAAAGTACAGCATGATTCTCTTAGAAAACATACGTTAAAGTCATGTGATAGTTGTCGTGATGACAGGTACCATTGTCTGAAGTTCTGATTTACAAACAGCATTTCATCTAAATACAGCAAGCAATGAGGTAGACTTGATTGTCTCCATTTTACCAGTGCAGAATGGAATAGGAAGACTGTGCACTTTTTTTCTTTGTTTTTAAGATTGTAATTTGATTACAACATTCCTCCATTCCTTTTCCTCACTCTGACCATCCCCATTTACCTAACCATTCCCACTGTCCATTAAATTAATGGCCCCTTTTTTCATTGTTATAGCACGTGTATATACACATGCACTCCTCACCTGTTCCATCCATACAGTGTTACCCACACACATGGACTCAGGGTTGACCAGTTAGTGCAGGACGACCAACAGGAGTACCCTTTCTGAGAAGGACAACCCACTCCACTCCCCGCTTTCCTAAGTTATCTGTAGTCTTTTGCATAGGGTTGAAAATAGGGCACTATTCTCAATGTTACTTAGCAGCTAGAATACAAATGAAGCCCTCAGCTGTGCTTTTCCTTGTTTCAAAACATTCAACACCTAATATCCCTGCCCCCTACTTAGAAAGGAACATCCCAACTTTTTGGTGATGTTTTTATGTTTTCTTATTAAACATGTATCATTTATGTAATTAAAACAACAGGTATTCTTAAAGCCTTTGATGATTTGGTTAAAAATACAGCCAGTGAAATAATTGTCAAAATAGCAAAGATGGCCTCATTGACAGAAGAATGATTTAAACTATCCCACTCTTGGACGTATACCCCAAACATTCTATATTCTGGTACAGAGATACTTGCTCATCCATGTTTGTTGCTGTTCTAGTCACAATAGATAGGAAATAGCCTAGATATCCGTCAGTATATGACTGAATAATGAAAAGGTGGTCTGTTTACACAGTGGAATATTATTAGGTGGTTAAGGAAAATGAAACTATAAAATTTAAAGGTAACTTGATAGGGCTGGAAACATTCTAAGTGGACCCCAAATGCAGAACCACAAGCATTGCATGTTTTCTTTCATTGGCAGATGCGCAAAGGGCATAGAGAAATGAGTTGGTACTCACCTAGAAGTTTCATTGCTACTGGCTAGCTTTCCTAGTGCTAGAAAATAAAAGGAACCAGGCTTACCCAGTTGTGAATTTTCTGAGTTATAATAACAACAAGTCTGGCCATATAGGCCCACTGGTGCAATATGGCATGAGTGTCACAGTAGTGACCAAACACTTTCTGCTTGAACATAAAGCCTGCTCCACAAGATGGAACCTATACCTGGCACCATTATTAAGGTCACAAATGAGGGTTAGGCATGACAGACACTCTAGGGGAGAATCTACTATTCTCATGTAAATGGATATAGACAGTAGTAAACTGATTCCTGATGGCCTATTATTCAACTCATGGATTAACGAATCTATCAACCTCATCAGGGAAGCTTCTTTTTGAAGCTTCTAGTGTGGAAACCCACAAATGGCCAAGGTGCACAAGAATAAGACACTGCCGAATGCTCAGTTTTAAATGGGACATTTGTATTACCCTCTGTATCTTATCAGACCACCATGCTTTAAAGAATTCAAGAACAACACAAATTGCAGAAACCCTACAAACTCATGGAAATTGAACAATGCACAATTGCATCTCCCTGGGTCAAGGAAGAAATACAGAAAGAAATTAAAGACTTCCTAGAATTCAATGAAAATGAAGACACAACATACCCAAACTTATGGGACACTTTGAAAGCAGTGCTAAGAGGGAAGTTCATAGCACTAAGTGCCCACATGAAGAAACTGGAGAATAGTCACACTAGAGAATTAACAACACAACTGAAAGCTCTACACAAAAAGAAGCAAACTCACCCCAGAGGAGTAGACGCCAGGAAATAATCAAATTGAGGGCTGATATCAATAAAGAAAACAATACAAAGAATCAATGTAACAAAGACTTTGTTCTTCAAGAAAAACAAGATAGACATATCTTTATTCAAACTAACCAAAAGGCAGAGAGAGAACATGCAAATTAACAAAATCAGATATGAAAAGGGGGACATAACAATGAACATTGAGGAAATTGAGAGACTCTTCAGATCATACTTTAAAAACCAGTACTCCACAAAATTTGAAAGTTTAAAGGATATGAACAATTTTCTGGATAGATATCTCTTACCAAAATTAAATCAAGAATGGATAAGATATTTAAACAGACATATAACCCCCTAAAGAAATAGAAGCAGTCATAAAAAGTCTCCCAACCAAAAACAGCCGAGGCCCAGAGGGTGTCAGTGCAAAATTCTACCAGAAATTCAAAGAACAGCTAATAAAAAAATACTCCTCAAATTGTTCCACACAATAGAAGCAGAAGGTTCATTGCCAAACTCTTTTTACGAGGCTACAATTTCCTTGGTACCCAAGTCACATAAAGACACAACTATGAAAGAGAACTACAGACCAATATCCCTCATGAACATTGACAAAAATTAAAATACTGGCAAATCAAATCCAAGAACACATCAGAGAAATTATCCACCATGATCAAGTAGGCTTCATCCCAGGGATGCAGGGATGCAGGGATGGTTCAACATACGAAAATCTATCAATGTAATCCACCATATAAAAAAACTGCAAAAGAAAAACCACATGATAATCTTACTAGATGCTGAAAAAGCCTTTGACAAAATCCAACACCCTTTCATGGAAAAGGTCTTGGAGACATCAGGGATAACAGGAACATACCTAAGCATAACAAATCAACAGCCAACATCAAACTAAATGGAGAGAAACTCAATGTGATTCTTCTAAAATCAGGAAAAAGACAAGGCTGGCCCCTCTCTCCATACCTCTTCAATATTGTACTTGAAGTTCTAGCTAGAGCAATAAGACAACAAAAGGAGATCAAGGGGATACAAATTGGAAAGGAAGAAGTCAAACTTTCACTATTTGCAGATGATATGTTAGTTTACATAAGTGACCCAAAAATTCTACCAGGGAACTCCTAAAGATGATAAATACCTTAAGCAAAGTAGCAGGATACAAGATTAACTCAAAAAAATCTGTAGCCATACTATATACAGACGAAATCAGAGAAACATCACTCTTTACAATTGCCACAAACAACATAAAATATCTTAGGGCAACTCTAACCAAACAAGTT